AAGGGAAGTCTCCTTGTTTACTTAAATTCTTTAATTTGTCATTAATTGTTTCTTTTATATAGGAAACTATTTTATTAATCAAAAGAGAGTTTATGTGCATCAAAACTATCCAATAGTCATTGTGTGTGCGTATGATTTTTCAAGAAGTAAAAGATTTTCTTAATTATCTTTTATATTTTATTGTCATTAATTGGTTGTATGTTTGCATGTGAATTTCCATTAGATTAGGATGGCAATATTTTAATAAGGCATGGACTCTTCTTATTCCATATCTTTAAAAAGATAATTCCTTCTACGTCTGTAACTCTGTGTAACCTAATACAGGAGTGGCCCATACTATACAAGAAGGAGCATGAACGTAGTTAAGGGCATTCTTTTTATCGAGAGAAGTTCAAGAGAAAATATTTTTTCCTCTCGTTTTTATAGTCCATCGTGATACGTGATTTTCATAGAAAATATATCGGCTTCAAGGCTTTGTGGTGAAGACACCAAGATTCAAGGAGTATCACAAGTTTGCTTCTTCTATACAAAAAGAAGATCGGTTCTTCGGGAGAGGGGCTTAAATAGATCTCGGGAGGAGATCGATCCGCCGACTGAGGGATTCAGCGTTGAAGGGAGTTCAACCGTGCGGAGCAAGGGACGTGCTGCAAATTAAAGATTTATAATTCAGCGTAGTTTACAAGAACGGCGTCAACAAAGAGGGAGTCTTTGTATTTTGATTAAGTCCTATTATTGTATTCGTAAAACTAAAAATTAGTAAATTTTATTTGCAGGTCCCCGTGGATGTAGGGTACAGTTGTATCCGAACCACATTAAAATTTGTGTCTCGTTTATTACTGTTTTTACGAACTGCTTCACGAACTGTTGCAACACTTCACGCAACAGTAACGAAAAACTGAATCTGACACAAATAATTTATATCTGCACGAAATAAATTCTAACAAGCAGGCTGGAGAGCGAGAGAAAAAGAGAGAATTGAAAAAGAAAAACATATCTGATTTGGAGAACGTAAATAGAGGTTACATTTAGGTTATAACGGTAAATTATGAATAAAAAATAAAATTAGGATGTGGGTCATATTATATTTTAAAATAGGGGTGTATTTAAAAAAATTAGTTTGAGGTTGTCATTTAGTTCTAATTAAATTTGGTAGGAGGGACCTAAGCATATTAACCCCTAAAAGTAATGTTTGTTTACAATTGAAATGACACAAAATACACTGTAGCGGTCAAATCATGATTAAAGGTGTTCTGAAAATGTATTGTAGGAGAAAAAACTGAAAAATTAAAGTAATGTTTGATTTTTTTTAGTGAAGACATTTTTTACTGTAGCTGTCAATTTTTTTTTACCTTATTCACCTTATCGGGCAGACAAGAGTGTATTGCATCCCAACTTTATTTCAAGTAATTTTGTAATATAGGTGGTTTATTATTACATTCACTTGGCATTCATGCACATTCTTCATATTTTTCCGACACAACTATATTTATATGGACAAAAATGTGGGGAAAATTACAGTTTATGTCCCTAAACTTTACCACTAAAACGATTTATGTCCTCAAACATTTCAATCCACGAAATATGTCCTCAAACTTGCCACTTTTGATCGCTTTATGTTCTGCCGTTAACGTCGGCTGCTAACTTCGACGGAAATAGCACACGTGGCTCACGTGACGTCTATGTGGCCGTTAAGTGTGACGTGGAATAATATATTGAATATTAAATATTGACGTGGCACAAGAATATACAAATTTCCTCTAACTCACTCTCCTAAATCCCAAATCCCAAATCACGTTTCACTCTCATTTCCAAATTTTCAATTCAATCTCCATTCTTGCTCGAACCCATACTAAAATCGAATTCATAAACCCATAAAAAATAAAAACATTCTCACATTTGAAGAGTTTTTCCCTTCTCAAAGAACAGCAGATTCACGTGCAAAAAAATTTAGAGGAAGCTTTAATTCTTCTCCCAACTCCGTCTCTAGAACGTTGGGGTCTTGTGATTTTTCACCTGTTGATGCTTGTGCCCCTTGTGGTCTCGATGAAGCGAGCACAAGGATGGTGAAGATGGCACAAATTCTACCCAATTCAGCAGTTTCAGAACCTGCCCAGAAGGTGTTCGACAAAATGTCTGAACCAATTCCGGAAAAAAAAAAAACATGCAGCACTTGTCAAAGCTGCATATAATTCTTTTTTTGCCAAGAATAGAGTGCCCAAGAACGGATTCCAGCTTCCCGACTTCCCCAACGAAGTGGAAGAATACATGATTTTTCAGCCCGAAGATGAAAGTAAAATCGATGAAACATTCGGCATTTGTTTATTGGGCTATTTTGCTGGTAAAACACCACGAAAAATGGCCATGGATTCACAGACGATTCTGCTATTTCGAATTTCACCTCAATTGAAGGTTTCGAAATGGGGTTTTAGGGATTGGATTTACGGGTTCATTGGGGATATGGAGAATTAGGGATTTTAGAATAGAAATAGGGGAGGAGAATGACGTGTCGCTCCACATCACGTTTCGTCGACCAAGTAGGCACTGGGTGTTGTACAGCTCGACATTTAACGGCCACATAGACGTCACGTGAGCCACGTGTGCTATTTCCGTCGAAGTTAGCTGCCGACGTTAACGGCAGAACATAAAGTGATCAAAAGTGGCAAGTTTGAGGACATATTTCGTGGATTGAAATGTTTGAGGACATAAATCGTTTTAGTGGTAAAGTTTAGGGACATAAACTGTAATTTTCCCCAAAAATGTGCTACAAAGTTGTCAAGCACAGCCTGAAAAAATAAATGAGACGAGTTTGAGCCTATAATAATGAGGCATGGTGGTGTCTTATCTTAAGCCTATAGTACTGAAGGCCGGTTGAATTTGAGTTGAGCCAAAACAAGCTCGCTCACATAGCACGATTACCTTCCCCAAATTTTAGTAATATAATTTAAATATAGGTTTTGTCCCAATTGCCATTGTTTTATGTCTTTTCTACAACACTATTTTCTTACTATGCAATGTGATGAAAAAAAATCCTAAGCAGATTTTGCATTTTATTTGTAGTTGTGATTTGTTATTTTTAGTAGTTAGATTCTTAATCGACTATGCTTCATAGGCGATTAATATACCCGATAGACAAAAAAAAATTAGAAAACAAAAAAAAAAAAGTAAAAAAAAAAAATAAAGAATTTCCTCAATCGACTATGTTTCATAGTCGATTTTCCTTAATCGACTATGCTTCATAGTCGATATATAAAACTGATACAGAAAAAAAAAGTTCAAAACAAAAAACAAAAAGCAAAAAGAAAAAAAAAACTGATGACCAGCTCATAATGCAATGATGATGTGGGCACGTGACACAATGATAATGTGGCGGGCATGAATAAAATGGGAAAAAATAATGGCTGAAAATGGGTGTGAGTTTTTCGGGAAAATTACAGTTTATGTCCCTAAACTTTACCACTAAAACGATTTATGTCCCCAAACATTTCAATCCGCTATATATGTCCTTAAACTTGCCACTTTTGATCACTTTATGTTCTGCCGTTAACGTCGGCAGCTAACTTCGACGGAAATTGCACGCGTGGCTCACGTGACGTCTATGTGGCCGTTAAATGTCGAGCTGTTCAAAACCCAGTGCCTACTTGGCCGACAAAGAGTGATGTGGAGCGACACGTCATTCTCCTCCCCTATTTCTATTGTAAAATCCCTAATTCTCCATATGCCCCAATTAACCCGTAAATCGAAGCCCTAAAACCCCATTTCAAATCCTTCAATTGAGTTGAAATTCCCAAATAGCAGAATCGTTTTCCCAAGTTTTTGAATCTCCGAGTAGTTAAAGCGTCACAATTGCAAAACAATTTTCGATTTGGTAAGTTTCCTCTATTTATTTGAACAATTTTCGATTTTGGTAATTAGTGTACTTGTAGTGTTGATTTCACCTCAATGTTTTCGATGTAGCATAAAATATGAGTAAAGGATCTAATTATGGCTGTCGGAGCTCATCCTCAACGACCTCTGATGCTCATTCAACATTTTACACAATCAATTGTAAATGTGGATTTCGTTTGCCAGTGATTACGTCATGGACGCCAGACAATCCAGGGAGAAGATACCAAGCTTGCCCAAATTATGGAGTAAAATGCTTTCCTTTTATTTGTTCATTACATTATATTGGATTTGTTATTTCAAGCTTGAACAAATTATGGGGTTAAATGCGTTCTTTTGATTCAAGTTTTGGGATTCGTTACAGAAATCAACCTATTGTGGTGTATTCAAGTGGTTGGATCCTGAAATATGTGGTAGATCCAAGATGATTATCCCCGGACTGCTTAGGAGAGTGAACAAACTAGAGGCTGAATTAGCTTGCTTCAAAGAGAAAGAATAAATATTGAACCAAGTTGAAGGTGAAGTGGCTTGTTACAAAGAGAAAGAAGAAAAATTGAACAAGCTAGAAGGTGAACTTGCAAAGGAAAGAAGGATTATTCAGAAAAGAGCCAAGAAACTGGAGGGTTTGATTGCAATGTACAATAAGAGGATGAAGTTGCAAGTTGGAGTCTTTATGGTCATACTTCTGTTCATTGCCATATATGTCATGAAAATTGGCATAGAAAGGGGGTATATGTAATGTTTTGTTTGAATGTGGATGTTGTTTCTAATGTTTTGTTTATGGTTAATTATCAGCTGTTAGGAATCGGAATTCTTGTAATGGTGGATTTGGTAATTTGGTTGTAGTTCTTGAATTTTGGTGAATTTGGTGAATTTGGTAGTAGTAATTGACTGATCAATTTTCAGTTGTTAGAAGTTCTTGTAATGGTGAATTTGGTAATTTAGTAATAATTCTTGAGTTTGGTGAATTTGGTAGTGATTCTTGTATTGGTCATTTGATGATTCTTGTACCTTGTATGTATTGATCAATTATAGAACTTATATATACATAATTAAGCTTTCAAACATTCAATAACTTAAAAGAGTCATCAAACATCTCATACATAATTTAGCTTTCAAACATTCAATAACTTAAAAGAGTCATCAAACATCTCATACAAACCAACTGTGTTCAAATTCAAACAAATCAAACATCTCAAACAAACCAACTGTGTTCAAATCCAAACAAATCAACAAACCATCAAACTGTGTTCAAATCCTAACAAACCATCAAACATTAAACAACCAAATATTCAACATTCAAACATCAAACTAGCTAACAAACAAACAAAATAACAAAAGTACAATCTTGTTCAAACTTGATCACTTCTTCATCTTGGAGGCTGACTTGGAAGCAACTACTGACTTGGAAGATGCCTTGGAAGCAACTACTGACTTGGAAGATGCCTTGGAATTTGTGATGGATGCAGAGGCTGACTTAGAAGAACTTGCACCAATTTCAGAGCCTGAGTTTCCCTTCAGTTGATTGGTCACTGATGATGCTAAATTGGATAGTGTTATGAAATTAACACCTCCTTTTACAATCATTGGAGCCTGGATTGTTGGAGAAGATTGACTTGGCTGTAATTAATAAAAAAAATATAAATTAATATAAATATTTATTAAAAAAACATAATTATGAAAATATTAATTTAAATACCTTAAAGGATCCAATTATGTTTCTTCTGCCTGTTACTGTCATTTTCTTCTGAGGTCTTCTAAACTGCAATTTTGAACAAATAACTTGCATAATTGAAATTTTATATATTATATAAATTGAGATATTGAAATTAAAAAAAATAATACAATTATAAACCTGTAATTTTTCTTTATCTTTTGCAGTCTGAATTGGTGGTTGTGGTACTTGTGGAGTTGAAACTGAAGCTTGAGTTGAAGCTTCAACTTCATTCCTTTGGTTTCCTTGCTCAGCACTCATACCATCACCCTTGCTCCCTTCTTGAACCTGTGAAAACTTCCTCTTTTTGCATGTTTTAGAGTTGTGGTTTGTGCCTCCACATGTTCTGCACTTGTTTGATCTTTTAACTCCAACCAGCCTATGAGGATTTTTTGCAACAGGTGGCTCATCTGCTTCTCTCCTTCTAATTCTTTGAGGCCTACCTACTTTGTCTGTGTAATTGGGTGGTAATGGAGGCTCTATTGTACTGGCAGGCCACAATTCAGGTCCATTTAAAGGAAAGATAGGAGTTTCATAGCATTTCAGATAGGTCTCCACTTTGTAACAATTGTGCACATAAGATTCTGGATCTTCATTTCTGCACCAGATAGCAGAACATGCATGTTTACAAGGGATTCCAGTGAGATCCCATTTCCTGCAGCTGCACCTCCTCTCTCTAACATCAACACTGTGCTGAGTTGAAGGTCCCATAATTTGGAAATTCCACTCATCAGACCTTATTGGAATGCACTCTCCAGCTTCTTTCATTGTCTTCATCAACACTTGCTTAATCTTAGGACAGAGAGGACCATCCCACTTAAGTGTTTTTTCTCTATTTATCTGAATTCTTGTCATCAAGAGGTTTCTAATAGATTCAAGCAAAGAGATAATTGGTTTTTCTCTTGCATCCAGTATGAAGCTATTGAAACACTCACACATATTATTCAACAAAATATCACACTTGGGATAGGTAGTGAAATGAGACCTAGACCAGTTTTGTGGAGGTTTTTTGGCTAGCCAAATATAGGCATTTTCATCTATCTCATTCAACTCTTGCATTCTCCTCTGAAATTCCTCAACTCTAGTTGCCCTTGCTGCAGCCCATAAGGCTGATTTAATGGCCAATCCAGTGAAACCATCCCTTTTCATGTTACTGTGAAGATGCCTAACACAGTACCTATTTTCAGCAGTTGGGAACAAGGTTTCAAAGGATGGAATCAAGCCCTTTTGCTTGTCAGACATGAATGTCCATGTGTGTTCATTTTCACTAAAGTTGAGATCAATATTCAGCATATTCAAAAACCACATCCAACTCTCTTTTGTCTCACTCTCAACTATTGCATATGCAATTGGATAGATGTTATTGTTTGGATCTAATCCAACTGCACTAAGCAACTGACCCCCATGATTACCCTTTAACCAACATCCATCTACCCCAACCACTGGCCTGCAACCATTCCTAAACCCAATTTTACATGCATTAAAACACATATAAAATCTTTTAAACCTGTTTTCATCATTCAACTGCATTCTCACAGTAGAGCCAGGGTTACTCCTATCTAACTCTTGACAATAATCCCTTATTTTGCTAAATTGTTCCTCTAAAGTACCCTGAATCAGTTTCAGAGCCTTTTGCTTTGCCCTATAGGCCTGTGATCTAGATACATTGGCCTTTAAGGTGGTACAAACTTCATTTCTAAATTCACTTGTGCCCAATTTTGGATTTTCTTTCAATTTTTTCACAAAAGTCTTCCCAATCCACCCTGATTTAATGCTTGTGTTGTTATAATTCCAAGAGCATTTGTTATGATTTGGATTATAGCTCTTAATTTGCCAAGCACCATCCCCCTGCATCTTTCCCACATAGCAAAACCACTCACACCCATCTTTTTTACAAACTGCCATCAACCTAATCTTGTCAACCTTCTGAAATTTTATCATCATACCTCTCCTAAAGCAATGACTCTCAATGGCAAACTTAGCCTCATCCCTGCTACTGAAAATTAATCCTAGTTTCAGTTCTGGATTTTTTTTTTCAGTTCTAGGATTGAACTTAGGGTATTTCACCCCAACACTTTCTTCATCACTACCACCACTGACAAAGTCATCATCACTAGCAACAAGATTTTCCTCCCCTTCTTCATTATATAGCTTATCAAACATCCCACCACTTATGAATTCACTACCCTCATCTATCTTACCCTTGCCCTTGTCTAAACCACCAAATTCAGCTTCAGGATCAACATAAGCTTCAAATAGCTTATCATCATCCTCCATATCATACTCTGACTCATAAAAAATGTCATCATCTTCACTGTCATCACCCTCATCACTTAACTCTACCCCAGTTTCATCTATCCCAATTTCATCATTTATGACAGATTCAGTACCCCCCTCTGAGTTATTAACCTTTTCAATGAACATCTGAACTTCAAAGTTTGAAGGAATACAGTCAGCTATGCTAAGAACATCAGCATCAGTTTCAATTGGCCTAAAACAATTCTCATGTTTTAGCCAAAATTTGAAACTTCCCTTCTCAGTGTACCCTAAAGCATTTGCAAAATCCCACATATCTAATATACCAAATTGGTCAATATCCAAAAAATCAAAGCATTCTACCTGCCCTCCTATATATGTTCTAGTTGGTTCATGCCTCATTGTTCCACCATAAAAAAATTTCATGCTAAAACATGTAGGTTCACCCATTTCAACTACGGTGTTTGAGGAAGCAGAAAAAAAAAAAACAAAAAAAAACAAAAAAAAAAACAAAAATTAGAAAAATCAAAAATCACATTTTCACATAATTTAACAACATAGCTACAAAGTTAAGGATACTTACTGTAGTTTGGAGTCCACTGAATGCCGGATTCGCTCTTTCTTGACATTTTCTTCTCCAAAAATCTCCCAAAGCAGCGTAGCTTCTGAGAAGGAAACAACTCTTCAAATGTGAAAATGTTTGGATTTGTATGGGTTTGTGACTCCGATTTTAGTATGGGTTAGAGCAAGAATGCATATTGGATTGAAAATTTGGGAATGAGTTGAGCTGATTGAAATTGTGAAGTGTGGGAAAATTAGGGTTTATGAGTGAAACGTGATTTGGATTTGGGATTTGGGAGAATGAGTTAGAGGAAATTACTATATTGTGCCACGTCAATATTTAATTTTCAATATATTATTCCACGTCACATTTAACGGCCACATAGACGTCACGTGAGCCACGCGTGCATTTCCGTCGAAGTTAGCTGCCGACGTTAACGGCAGAACATAAAGTGATCAAAAGTGGCAAGTTTAAGGACATATATAGCGGATTGAAATGTTTGGGGACATAAATCGGTTTAGTGGTAAAGTTTAGGGACATAAACTGTAATTTTCCCGAGTTTTTCTTAGATTGAACAAAGTATTTTAATTTGGGCCTCTCAATATTTAAAGATGTAATAGTGGATTTTCTCTAAGAGCCCTTTAATTTAATTGTTTGTTAGTTGGTCATAAATTATAAATTAAATTTTTATTAATTGTTGATGTCCACCTTCTTCTAGTCAGGCACCGCCCAAGCAATGTTTGGTTAGGTTTTGGGAGTTATTCTCATCTTATTTTGGGAAATTGATTTTTTGAGAGAATAGTTGGAGAATGAAAGTAATATTTGGTTACAATTTGAAATGAGAAGAAAATACACTGTAGAAAAAAATACATTGTAGTGGTCAAATCATATTTAAAGGTTTTTGGGAAATGTATTGTAGAAGAAATAATTAAAAAATAAGTAATGTTTGGTTTTTAATGAAGAAAATATTTACTGTAGCTGTCAAATAAATTTTTTTACCGTAGTAGTCAAATCATGTCTGGAGGAGAGATAAATTTAGAAGTTGTTTTGGGAATTGTTTTTGGAAACATTAACAAACACGAATTCGTTTCGGAGAAAGAATTAAAGTCAAGTGAAAACGTAACCAACTATAGTTAAACATCTATAAATTAATACAGTCGGGACTAGCAAAATTCTATTAATTTAGCGAAATATTAAATTATCGAACTAATAATTTAGTAGGTTTTTACCGAGTTGGGACCAGAAAAAACTATTACTTGATCAAGGTTATTAATTTATC